AGAACAAAATGGACAAAGCAGAAGGCAAGTCAGAAGTGAATCAGATCATCTAAAGCGCACCTGAAGTTTTCCGACGACTTCTTCAAGACGAGCACTTGCGATCCACGCCGGCGGATGCTTTGGATTCGTTTCACGCACTGATTTCAACAACATTCTTGCCTATGATACAAATGTGCTACTTTCCCTCAATCATATCACACAAAAATTGTCAAAATACCTTCTTGACATCGTTGATGTCTCCTCCGTATTGTGGAATCATCGACTGGAGATCGGTAAGGTAACCCTTGGGATCAACAACAGTCTGGCCCGAGACGGAGTCCGATACCTGAACTATGATCAGCATATGAACATGCCTTTATATAGGAATAATATTGTCATACCTGATTCAGCTTGATGTCCATAATTTTGTTTCTGGCCTGGCCAATTTTTATAAGATCAAGATCATGGCCAGACGATATGCCTGAGTTAATTCCCGTTTTCCAACCACCTAAATGAAAAATTAGCAATAAGACGAGTATGCTCTGTTTCGCTACGTCTAAATTTTCATGGTGAACAAATTCACAAAGTAACAAACAGCATAGTAGCTCGAGTAGAAAATGTGAAATGTATTTCAGACAAAAATCGCAGTGAAAAAAGGCGGCAAAAATTGGGAAACTTTACGCCTAGAATGCTTTATCTACCACTACAAAAAAAAACATTAGGACCTCAAACTAGGGAACAGATCAAGAAAAACGCCTAGCGCATTTTCTGAATATTGGAGGTGTTATTATAAAGGCCTACGTTCAAAAAAATTGAAAAATGTAAACATAGAAGCCGACGGAGCAAACAACAGTAATCGTACCTAGTGACGACTGCATCCCGCCAAAAGTGCTCTGGAATCCCGAACCGAAAGGTGTTGTCATTCCTGATTGAACGCGACTATCAAGCGTGGAAGTTGTCTCTCCGTAACTCATTGACATAGCAATAAGTGAATCCGGTACAGGTGTGAACCTAGAAAATGCAGTATCAACAAACCAATTCTAAAAACTAATGCCGTTCAGGAGTACAGAACTGTCTAGTGCACTGAGAGTAAAACTTTGCTCTCGCTGAGTGATAGCCCAGCTGCATAAACACAAAAGCAAAAAACTATTTGTAGTGGAAATCTTTCATAAAGTACCACATATAAAAGAAAAATCCAAGCCCATGGAAAATTATGTAAGCATTATAGAATCATAAAAAGTAAGGACCTGCTAATAGTGAAAACTCACTTTTTCTGGCTCTTTGGATTTCGTTCGTTCTTGTTTCTAGAATTCCTACTCGGGTATGGCTACCGCATTCATTCCTCAGTAAACGCTATGAAATAGGCACTGAATTGAGAAAGGAGACCATTTCAAGAGCAGAATACGTCTCAAAATCACATAATTTTATATAGAAAAGATTTGGAGCGCTCATGTGCCTCGGTAGTGGCGCATCGTCCCTGCGCTGCGCTTTCGGTGCAACAGCAAATTCGTGAGCCAGGTTTTAGGGGGTGGGGGTGGGGGGTGAGGGCAGTCACTTAGCATGCGTAAGAAGCTGGAATGTTCCGTGAGAAGCTGGAACGTTCGAGTTACACTGCACCGCTGAGCCGCGCGCGGCGACTGGCCCCCTCCGAGGCACATTGCGCCGAAAGTTGCATACAGTTACGGTACTCTTCACTTTCAAGATGGGTTATAAGGCCAGGGGATTTCCTCGCTACATCAGATGTTCTACAGAACTTTTACGTATGATGATAGATAGAACTGCACCTCGCTAAGCTGCCTCTTCAGATCAGAAAACTCCTGTTGAATTTTTGGCCTCTCTTTGCGATACTTTTCGATAGCCTCTTTGTACTTTTTCTCTCTGAAATATCCCAAGACTTAGATATTTCAAAAGACCAGGTAAAAGTAATGGCCGAAAACCGCTGCCTATAGGTCCCTTCGCTCGCTCATATATCCTGGTCTCTACAAGCTAAATAGACCTCGTCTGCTTCTTCGTCTTCTTTATCATAAGGATCCTGCGCGAATAAGCTCCCTGCATAGCCTTCAAACTGAAACAGGGTGGTTATGACCAATCATCGAGTGTGGTGAACAATCAAATAGTTACTTCATCGTAATTGTTGTCATTGAGTTGCTCTTCCGGGTCCTCCTTGGTTTCCTCTTTCGCCTTCTTCGATGGCGGTCCCGTCCCTGCTTCTGGCACATCGGTGGCCTCCCTCGCCGGTCCAATATCAGACCGCGTCGTGAAACCGGTCGCACCTTAACAAGATAGCGAAGTCATCGGAACTTATTCTGGACAACTCGTCCTGCATCACTTCCACTGCCTTTAGACATGACCAGAGGTTAAGTTTTAGGTTCAGGGAAAAATCGAATACACATACCTCTTCCCACTCCCGGAACATAGCCTGCCGGAGCAGGCATGCCCATAAAGTGCTTCTTGGTCTTGTTCACGGAAGAATCCAGGGTATTTGTTCATAGACATCTTGCTTAAACGAGAATAAATAAGAAATATCTAATCTAAACTCCTGGAAGTGGTAAAGGGACGGATGCTGAGATATTTAGGGAGCTAGAGCGCGTACAATGAGCAACAAACGAATGCTTATCTCATAACATAAGCACCTAATCGAACGAAATAGCAACAACACGACGAAGGCTGGGTTTTTGGCAGTTGGACTAAATTGCACTATGTTGGGAGAGATGCAGTTACATACGATGTGCCTGAACTCTTCCAAGGAACTTAACAAAAAAAAATTTCGGAATTAACAAATTGAAGCTCATAGGCTTCGCGCCATTTATGTGGCATTGACCGCAGCAGTCGTCAACACAGTGAGAAATTCGCTATTGTGGTTCCACCGATTTTTGAATCCATTTTCCATCCTTCGACGGAATTCCTGAGAATTCTTTTGGTAAATATTTTGTTTTGTTGCTGAAAAACACACTGTCCATGCATCGGAGTCCATGCATTAGGTCCGTCCAACATGAACCGTTCGTGTTAGAAGGCGCAGCTGTGTTCGAAACAAAGTTTGGATGTGGCATAGACAGGTAGCTGCATCTTCCCGCTTGTAGAATTAGCACAGTGTACATGGGGTCTCATCCAGTAAGGGGGGGGCATGTGGTGTGACAGTTCTTGCCGGCTACAGAAATTCCAATTTTTGCAAGGGGAGGGAATCCCCGGGGTGCGTGAACCATTTCGCTTAACTTTTACACCCACCCCGGAGCTTCCCTCCCCTGAAAAAAGTGGATTACTTCATGCAATATGAACTGTCGCACCACATGCCTCCCTTACTGAATGAGACCCGTGATATGCTCTGTACTTCACTGAACCCATTCAATTCTGGTCACCAACAGGAGACAGCTGCGTCGAGCAGTCTCCATTAGTTGAGTTATTTTGCTGTTCTCTTGATATTTTTTCTGCATTCCGGCCGATTGAATACTTCTAGGGAAGGCATATTTTTCACATCTAGAGGGTTGTCTCTCGGTAACCATAACCAAGTTCGCTTTGGAAATCTGATGGCTTGCCTGGGACCTGTCCATTTGGTGCTTTGGCCGTGGCTCCTCAAATTGCGTTTATGTCAGAAAGATTTCATTCAAATTTTCGGCGCTATTCAACTACTACAGCCCCAAAAATCCCAATATCTTATTTTTGGTCGAAACATTGTTTATAGGAGGTAGCGAAGATGACCTTTCGTTTTTAGCCCTAGCATCCATCTGATTTTTTGTCGATCTGGTGCAACATCATGGCAGTACAACACACTGCTTCGTTTAGTGAATGTCTACCGGCAAACTTTCGTTAGTTCAATGCCGCTTTAAAACATTAACGGCATTTGAGGCGCGGGAACGCGTCCCACTTTCCGCACCTCATTGGACTTTGAGACCGGTTGCGCGTCTCAAAGCTTCCCAAGGTTATCGTTCAAAATTTACGGGTGTGAGGTGTGACGGCCGCGCTCGCAAAAGCGCCCTTGTCCCACGCGATGCAAAAACGTAAAATGCGCGATGTCGTCAAGGTGTTAAATGA